TTTTTCCAATTATAATATGCAGTGTGCAATGACATACAATCACTCACAACATTACTGCGTTAACCGGATGGAGAGTTTATTGCTGGCTCAATTTGAAGACTTGGTCCATTGTGCACCAGTTATTTCAGAATTCGATTTACACCTTCGACTCCCTCTTATGAGAGTCTGTTTATTCGATTAGTAATAATCCTCGTCAACAATCCTTTGAGATCGTAAGTAAGCTGGTCGACAAATTCCTTTATCACCCTATTCACATAAAACCGCCTTCTACTCTTCAGCTGCTAGGCCTTCTTTTTTTTAGCCGAGTACACAATGAACCTAACGGAGAGAGCTAACCGGTTTTTCTGGGCTGTGGATCTGATGACTTCGATGCTAATGTGATCATTGCCGAGGATATTCCTGCTTTTCATTTAGAAGATGCATATCTTACCTCATTAAATATCTTGTCAGCACCAAGTTTTTTGTTTAGCATGTCAAACCTATATATTCTCCCTCCCCCGCAAGCCCCTACATCTTTCCTAATTTCTACTTGCAAGCAAAGCCTCAACCCTTTTCCAGCTAATGTGCCCGTCTCCTTTCTTCCATTACGAGCCCCCTTCCCCTCGCCCGGAGGCCGAACTTTTCAGCCTAACTTTATCCGCCGAGCCATATCTAAGTCTAGTAAGATAGTTTTTAAAATCGTCTCCGGTCGAACACCGACGATCACCATAAAATTATTACTGAGGATTAAACGGATCCAGAAAATGAGGGGAACCGGATCACAGAATTCTTTTTTTTCCATACCAAGCGCTGTTACTGTAACGAAGATTGGTGCTAGCTGTTCTGGAGCAAATTTTATGACAATGCAATAACTATTATCAATCTGTTTATAAACATAACCTGTTTCAATCAGTGTATGATAATGCAATCGTATCAGTGAATGAAAACAGGCAAGAGGCAAAAGTGTGAACATACCAAAGTACTCTTCACTACGTACATCACGAAATCCAACAAATTTTGTAAAACAAAAGAAAAAAAAACAAGTTATGGAAATGTAATAAAAAAAAATGAAAAAGTGAACACAGCTATGGAACAGTAATACAAATGGCAATGCGAAGGACGAACTGCAGAATGCTGCAGCTGCTGTAAAAGGCTAAAAAGCACACAAAAAGTTCTCGAAA